GAGGGGGGGGGGAGAGAAAAAGAGCAAGAGAGCGAGAGAGCGAGAGAGCGAGTGACAGATAGATATCAAAATATTTCAAAAAGAATAGGTGGTCGTACCCGATGAAGCACCTTCGTATTATCGCTGCAGGCACGAAGACAAATCCTGCAGGGTCAACAGGCAGCCCAGAGTTGATGATCAGCGGGTTCAGCCAGACGCAAATCCACAATCCGGTAAGTGATAAACACAGGTCACACACAGCAAGGCCTGGTAGGAAGACAGGGTTAAGAGATTATGTACAAGGAAGGAAGACATTATAGACACGGAAAGAAGACAAAGAAAGACGAGATTATAGACGAGGAAAGAAGGGATTATTATAGACAAGGAAATTAGAGATTATAGACAAGGAAAGAAGAGAATATAGACATGGAAAGAAGAGAATATAGACATGGAAAGAAGAGAATATAGACATGGAAAGAAGAGAATTTAGACATGGAAAGAAAAGAACATAGACAAGGAAGGAAGAGCATAATATAGACAATGAAAGTAGAGAATATAGACAAGGAAAGAAGAGATTATAGACAAGGAAGGAAGGGAATATAGACGAGGAAGGAAGAGAATATAGACAAGGGAAAAAGACAAGGAAAGAAGACAATGAAAGAAGAGATTATAGCAAGGAAAGAAGACAAGTAAGGAAGACTAGGAAAGAAGACTACGAAAGGGGAGATAATAGACAATGAAATAAGAGATTGAGGACGGAGAATGAAGGGCTCGAACGAGATATAGAAAAACACAAAGCTGGAAGTACCACATTCACGTAGATATAGGAGCAAATGATGATGTATGACATCTGATATTGCACCGTGTGGCACCTCCTGCTGGTGCCCAGTAAAGTATTTATGTGGCAAGAAAAAATAGAGGATGCGAACCAAAAACAAAAACAAAAACGTTTTCTAAGGTGCATTCCAGCAAGTGTCTGCCCGGAGCAAGCAGGGGAACAGCTGTTATGGAAGCACAGGTGATAAGTGAACAAAGTTACAATTGGTTTCAGCCTTTGAGAACGCGGATTCTGATCCTCCGGCATCACATGCAGGTGTGCTGTTTGGGAGCATAACTTCGTAATTCAAATATATTGTGTAGCTTGTTTTCCTTATCTTAAACTTTAAAAGGCAAGCAACAACAAGCGCAAAATGGAATATGCAATGTCGTGTTAATGATCTGTGTTTGAAGGTTGGAAATGTGCAGCAGCGTTGTCTTTGGTCTGTTACTGATCGGACAGAATAATGGGTCCGCTTTATTCTTTAAGAGTTTTTTAAAGTCCATTAAAACGCTGCAAACCTTACCTATCGTCATCAGTCTTTCTGACTTCATGTAGGAGTCTTACTTTACTATACGTTATTCGTCCTCTTGTACCTCTAGGGCGTCCAGGGGAGAAATAATTTCCTGTCTCTAGCAAGTTTGATGGTCTGGCTGGGTGGGATATTGTAGGTTCTCAGGGTATCCTTCACACCCTGGATCCATGTCTTCTTGGTGTTCCTCTAGCCTTGTACCCTAAATGCTGTCCTGTAGTAGGCTTTACTGGCAAGCTTGTTAGGTGCCATACGTGTGAGATGCATTTAGGAGTATACAATGTATAAGCATGAGCTATCAACAGGAACTCTCATCCATTTCTATCCTTGGCTGTACCTTTGTCCTGCTGTACCCCAAACTGCTTCAGCTGTGAAGCTAATTCTCTCCTTCAGCTGTTTTTGGGCCTTCCTCTCTTTTTCTTTCTTTGTGGGTTCCATCTTAACGTTTGGTGAGTAATGTTCGTATTTTCTTTTTTCAATCTGTGTTCAATCCACCTCCATTGTCTATGTCTGCTTTCCTTATCCATTTTATGGGTAGCCTACTAGCTTGCCCCTACAAGTGCACATTCTTTATGGTGTCAGGCCAGTGAATTCTTAGGATGTTTTCTTAAGCAACTGCTGACATATTATGCTTATAGCCTTTTAGACGTTTGTTCTGTAAGCTGCCATGTTTCCGATCCATTAAGTCACATACTTTTGACACCTGTGTAGAAAATGCCCGTCCATACCTTCTTTAGTTGTGCAAGAGCACCTCGTGCCTTGCCTATTCTTGTCATGACCTCTGCAACAGTTCCCCCACCTAGTCTATGATGTGTCCTAATAAGGTAGTCAAGAAATCGACTTTAATTCTAGTGGTGCTTTGTCCATGGTGGTCTAATCACTCACGGTCAGAGGCGAAGCGTCTATATAATCAAATAGTCACTGCTTCCCTTCCTAATTTTGAAACATTGTCGTAGTCAAATTCACCCATAAACGTAAACTTCATAAATTAAATGTAAAAAGACGTTCATAATCAACAATGAACAGTATGCCTAACATTCTAAACGGTTTCATTGCCACAGAAATAGCCTGTTCTCCCCTCTTGGGCCACTCCATAAGCAGTCACAAGCTTTGATTAAGTAAGCTTAAAGTGAGACTGGAAGAGTCTACCAACATAGTTGAAGGGAACATGTGCATAGCAGTCTAAATTGTTTCATTGTCACATATACCCTGTTCACCCCTTTCGGGCCACAGTTATAATCAGTCTCAAGCACTGTTTAGGTAAGCTAACTATTACACTGGTCGAGTCTACCTCACAGATGTGAGGGGAACTAACTCCTAATAATCTCTCACTGCTGCGAGAGCTTGTTTTTTTTTCCTCGACTTTTTACTGCCCTATAATCAGATCGTGACCTCAATTATGACACAGGCTCGTGGCCGCGAAAGGCTAGACAAAAAACAGCCAAATGTGAAATTTAAAAAATGATAATTGTCATGTTCTACCTAAGAGTTAGACTCCCTGGTAGATCTATAACATATAGATCTAGTACTGACATTTCTGCTTCTTTCCTTTGAGTTTGTGTATTTACATCTAAAGTTAAATTTAATTTTAATTGGAATTGATATTTAATGAGATACTTTCCCGATTATTTTGGCGGTTGAACATACAATAATGAATTCCGGATTTGTTTTCGTTCACAACTCTGAGTCGCCGCCTCGAGCAAAGTTCTTGTGCGATATCCCCAAGCCATATCTGGTCCCGTTTCACTTTGATTACCCTGTCAAACAAGTCAGCCTTCGCCCCTGCTCACGGTGGTATTGATCCTTAGTATCTTTGTCTAACTACAAGTCATGTCTTGGTGTACTTTAAAGCCTGCCATATGCGAGATACAGTCGAACCTGTGAAAGACGGACCCCCATTGTCAAGGAGAAAAGTGGCTATATATATTAGGACAGGTGTCGGTCTGAGGCAGGTAGGATCAAAAGGAAGAAAACAAACTACAGTTGAACCTGCCATAAAGGCCACCTGTAAATGCAGCCACCTGTACAAGCGGGCACTTTCCATTCCACCCCCTACCCTCTTTACACTATATATTTCTATTTTGTCTACCAACAACAGAAAAAAATAATGTATTGGCACTTGACGCTGTTAACGAGCCGTCATAATACATTTACCTGTCGTTATTGTTAGTCCCTCCAATGCCCAATTACGTTAGGTAGGTCCCACTGACTATTGTTTACCCAAGTTGACCACCAAGTAACATTAAATTTTCTGCTGCTGGTGAGGGAAACATGTGACCCGTCCACAACACGTGATACACAAATGGTAGGTGGGGTGACCGGTCACTGTTTACCCAGTCTTTAACAATGGACGTGAACATGAACTTGTGACAGAAGCGTCGCTCGTTCTCCGAGGGGTGGCGACCTATTTGTTGTTTTTTATCTTGACTTCCTGTCTACCACATTTCGTTTTGCTTTACACTTGCCCACTGTCTTCCCCATTTGATAAACTTTGTGGAATTTAACACTTATTACAGCAGTAGTCGTGAGACGTCGTCTCTCTGCGAAAACAAAGTAAATATGTTTCGCACATTCAGATAAATCCAGCTGCTGATGATGGAATCAAAGCAGAAATGTAACCCCTGTCCTGAGCTTGCAACCACCTCCAGTCGGGAACTCAGAAGAGAATGTAAAAACAAAACACCAACAACCCCCTTCCACAAAAAAAGCAACAAAAACCCAAAACGAAGAGCCAAAAAAAAAACTCGAACAAAACAACGACAATAAAAACCTTCCTATCCGCCCAAAAAAATGTAATAAAAGAAAAGTAACAAATAAACAGTCTGTAACCACCTCCGGTTGGGCCCTCAGAAGAGAAAGGTTTGCTTTCTTCATTTTCATCAATCCTTCTTAAGATTACCACCTTCCTAAGACGGCCACCTCTCTAAGACGGCCACCTCTCTAAGACGGACACTTTTCTTCTCAACAGGAGGTGGCACTCTTAAACAGGTTCGACCGTGTGTGTGTGGTAGTACACACACACGCACGCACGCACGCACGCACGCACGCA